AAATGCTCTTTTATCTTTGATCTTTTTTGTGACAATAAATAAGGATTGCTCACTTACAAATGAGTGCTGTACCACTGCTTTTTTTTACTACAACAAGAAAAGATCTGGGTAGAATTGTGATATCAATGGCCAACATACTCCCTACATGCCCACAATGTACACATTAGCCTTGTAATAATCAAATAATGCACAACATGGTTAGAAAAGGATATTGGAGAGCTGCACTCTTTTCTAACCAACATGTTGTGCATCATGTACAGCAGTGACATTGACTTTTGGCGCTGAAGTGCCAGGAGCAGAAGATTACCGGCCGGAAGATGATGGCACCACCTCCGAGGGACAGGTTTAAGTAAGTTAAACTCACCTTTGCCTGCTCCCTGGCCGCTGTACACCCAGAAGGGGATGGCAAGTTATTTAAAGTCCCCAGACAGTGACATTGCCGCTTTAGGTGGCATCTTAGCTTTTTTGCCCTATAGTTTGCAGGTCTTTCATCTTTAAAAATATTTTGAAAAGCAGTGAATTGAGAAAAACTATTGAAGTCTATTGTTTAACTATTGCAATAGTAATTTTAACAGCATACTTAATTTTTGTTTTCCTCTCGATGTTTAAAAGGACAGTCTAAGTCACAGGCTTCCTCAAACTCCGGCCTTCCAGATGTTGCTGAGCTACAACTCCCATGATTCTATGAATGAAAGAGGCTGAGAATCATGGGAGTTGTAGTTCAGCAACATCTGGAGGGCCGGAGTTTGGGGAAGCCTGCTAAGAACTAGGAAATGGCAAAGGAATTTCATATTTAAAGCCATAGTTCTAAAACAGGAAAAAATTGCCAATTTTGGGGGGTTTTTTTACACCGTGTCTATTCTGGCATAATATTTGTTATTCCTGTGGCAAGTCTTCTCATGTCCCAGTTTAGTGAATATGCCCATCTCTGTTAAAGAAGCTCATGCACCATGTCTTTTTTGAATTCATTTTCCAAGTGGTAAGGTCATCTTAAGTCTTCTATGGTGACCAAAAAAGTATCATAGATGGTTTACAAACTGGATGTTTTTGGACCTATACTATTCTGGTTAATACAGCCACACAAAAATGTTCATTTTTACAACTAGGCATCCCAGTGGATTTTATTTGTCATTTTGACGTTTTAGATGCATTTTTATTTATTTTTCTTCCTCCTCACCAAATTAAATAAATAAAGTGTTATTAAGGTTATCTTTTTTTATACTTTCTATTTATTTATTTTTTCTAAATTTGTCTGTTAAAATATATACTCTATATTCCTGGTCAATTTCACCGAAATGCTGTACTGACACCATTATGAGATATTAACACTGAACCTAGTCCCAGCTTGCACTCCATACACTGTCTGCTGAATTAATTATACTGTATAACACATACAGTATTCACACCCAACTCCGTTTATCTGCTTAAATTATTCCAGATGAGATGTGTGTTGGCATTTGCAAGGTGAGGATATCAATAGGGCACTGTCCCAATTTCATATGTCGGGTAACAAGAAATATTAGTAATGAACTGTTGCTTTTTTCATTAATGTTATAATAATTATTGTAAGAAGAGATCAGTTTAGATTAGGCTGTGCTGCAAAATGCTTAGTTGAGTGCATGTAACTATTTTATCAGCGACATGCATAAAATAATCGGATAAAACGCTCGCTTATTGGTAGATGATTAGAAGGGAGCATTATGCCATTTTACTTTGTCCTATCTAGAAAATCTCTCCATTTCGAAGCAGATTTTGCTTTCATTTGCTACCATTAACACTTCGGAATTATACAGGAGTATATTTCAAATGCTAAATTCTCTGAGATGCGGATTATGTTAGCTGAAATAAATATGAATTTCTCAAGTTGGCCATGACTGTGTTGGTAATCAGGAAATCGCTTATCCTTAAGCTAAAATAGGGGATTGCATAAAAAAAAAAAAAGAATTTAAAATGCTTTTAGGATGATTTATTTGGAATAAAACATAGATCAAAGTGTACATTTTTGTAGGATTCTGAAAATCAAACATTGCAATAAAAGAGACCTACTGTAAGCTAATATACAGTCATCAGAATCATGTAAAATAATAACAGGATTTCATTACAAAATAATTCTATCTAAGTCTACAAGATGGGCTGAAGCCATGGCAAAGTCTATTTCATTTGGTTTTTATTTAAACTTTCAATTCCCAAACTGTACCAATTTAGGTAAACTGGTCTTACTGTACCTCTAATACTAGGGGTTATTCGGCTGTTTCTTTCTGAATCTATTCTTGGACAGGCTCAAGTCATAGGAACGCACCTTTAATAACAAAACTGCTGGATTAATCTTCTTTAATGCTCTTCAGAGCATTACTGCATATAAATTATAATCTAATTTCCTGAGGTTATTTCAGATGTACGTGAGGGAAATTAGATTTTCTTTTTGAAATTAGGTATTTTCTTCATGATTGTTGGAAAATAAGTGTTACCTGTAAAGCGGCTAAGGAAAGTTCAGTGTATGTTACATATCGAGACACGATACAAAGTTAAAAGGCAACATTGCATTAACGGAATGATGAAATAGTTGGATGAAAGCACTGCACGTAATTAACGATAAACCACAAATCATAAGAAGGGGTTCCACATAGGTGAAAATGACCTAAATGATGTTTTAACATTATCAATGCCATTTGACTAAAAATATGTTGAAAGTCCTGTAAGTGTGGCCTTGCAAATATTAAAATGCTATTCTTATGAAAAACAAGTTAAATTTCTATGTGTGTGAACTGTAGTTCACCTGCAATAATTCGCGATTGTGCATCACAACACTAGAGTTCTTCACTCATGTAAGAATTCAATGTGAATTTCAAATTTAAAGCAGATCTGTCACTTATTTAACACTGACATGTTTCACTTAGTTAACCCATTTATTTTTCAATTACACTTTTTTCAAAGTTACAAATAAGGAAAAGTATCTATAACCTGATGGTTGACAATGTGTAGAGCTTTAATCAAGCACCACGGCCTTTGTCAACTTTGTCATTTGCTCTACTCACCTCCTTCCAGCGTCATGTCACTTCTGGGAGTGACACTCATTGGCACTCTGTGTTGGTTTTTGCGTGATCATGAGAGTCAACACAGAGCTGCTTGAAAGACAAAATAGGCTTACTTGGTATGTTCTCCAAGTCAGATATGCTTTCATTCAATTACGTTGGCTTTTTTAATTTTAAATTCACTTTGAACTTCTATCTAAGTTAATAGACCCTGCCTGTACACAGTTATCTGTGTTCAATGCTTGGGGCAGTTGCAGGAGTCTGCAATACAGATATTTTGAACCCAAGTCATCATGCATTCTAGGAGACATATGTCTGTGCAGTAAAACGTTACATTGTCCTGGGGTCAGTCCAGTTATTCTGTAACTATACTTAATACCTAGCACACCTATTTCCATAGGGGCAAGGAACAACAAATCAAGAATCAATTCTCCAGTGATCATCTAGGTTCCATTGCGATCTTAACACTTAGAACTCAACTCGAGTCGTCTGTTTTAAGAGTGAAAATAGGATTGTAGCATAATACTGTACCTCAGAGTGGCCAAACTCAGCGTGGTGTCTATAGTTAGGTATGGTCAAGCTATAACAATATACATGCTACACCTGCAAAAAGGCAGAATAGTCATGATCAAGCTGTTGTCTGAAATTAAAGGGAACACAGAACGGAGAGGAGAAGTTAAGTCAACAGTACCAGAGGAGATAAAATCTGATACATACACTTAATCAAATACATCTGGATTTATTGGTTCAATCAGGCAGGATAAATATTAAAGTAGATCTTAGAGTCCAGGTTAATCAGGGATATAGGTCTAAAGTTAGAAATATAATTTCTGTCTTTGACTTGTTTTAAAATCAGGAGATGATGGTAGGTTGCTATTCTACTGGGAGTGTCCCACTATTTATTAGCTCAAGGCAAATTTTAGTAACATTGGAAAAGAACTATAAAAATATTTGGGAATAACCTTTAAGTAAAGTAACTTTCTATTTGGTTATTGCCTGATTGTATTTTAGTACTCTCTTTCTCCCTAATTTTTACATGTTAACTATTAAGTTGCTTGGTATTTGCCTTTTACTATATTTACTATCAAATATGTTCCATTATTTTTTTACTACTAATTTAAAAATGTGAATTTAGTTTTTTACACGTTCATGGCTACGTCTGTAGTGCCAGGATTGCTGCAGTTGGACGAGTGTTCTCTTTATTTCCTCCTAAAAATGTTATGTTATTTGTTTAAATTATATGTAATTGGGTTATCAATTTAGTGCTTATTGCATATCTTAGTTCTACTCGACTCAAATTATATCTCTCCTGAATCAATCCTTGCTCATGAAGCTAGTTGCTTAATTATTATGTGAATGTGCACTTTTGTTACTTTCTTCTTTTTATTAATACCTTTCATTTTCAAATATGCCCTGAGATGCATGGATAACGCAGTACAGTTACACTGTTATATGCTTAAAACATATACAAAACAAACTAGGTTATTGCAGTTTTATCAGAGAAGAGATTATGCCCAGTGATGGTTTATATAACTCATTATTCCAAACCAGATTAAGATTATTTAGTAGTTACAGTAAAGTCCAGATAATGTTGGCAATCTCAGAATAACAAATTGAAACAAAGTATGTACGTATCACAAGTTATCTAAGGCAAAGTAGGGCAACGTAATACCATTAATGTTTAATGTTCATAATACCTAGGGAGATAAATACTACCTAACTCTGAGCTGGTAGGGCTCTGTGTCAACGAGGTCCAAGACAGTAGTAACGCAAATACCCCGAACCCTGTCTCTCTTGCAACTGATCGGCATGTTAATTTATTAATGCAGGTTTATTTTACAAATTCACATTTTAAAGCAGTATAGCAGTATAGCTTAAATTGAAGCACAGCTGACATAAATAATTTTTTTTAGTTTGGCTTTTTTGACCTGAAATTTGGAATTCACTTTGGGGGGCGGGCCAGACAGTCATGGAGGTGAGATGCATCTCGAGTGAGCTCCTCCATTATCTGGCTTTAAGACACTTCTGACAAGCTTAATCAGCTCGACTAGAGACAAGTCTTGTCACACAGTGGCCCTCCGACCTCCCTGATACGAGTAGGAGTGGATAAAGAGCTGCAGGGAGGTTTCATACCTTTATGTGGTGGATGCGGCCTAGTGTTTGCCAAGTGGGAGAGGCGGCCAATCTCCCAGACTGGAGGTGCCAAGAGGAAGCTATTTGCCAGCAACAGCCCTATTCTACCATCCCCCCCCCCTGGACCGGTGGGGGTGATCCCGGTCCACCCCTGGGAGGTAGCCCAGCACTGGCAGACTTGCAGGGTGAAGTCATCAAAGCTGACAGACACCACTATGACCAATGCAAGATGGCGGAACCTGCGTGTTTGTCTAACTCCAGCACAGTATAGTTAGACATGGAGTCCAGGCTGGATAGCCTCTTTGCTAAATTCTGGCAGCAGTTAGAAAGCAGACAACTTTACCATGCACCATCGCAGCCAAAGGACCACCCACATGACCTGCAGGCTCCAGATCACCATCGTGAATCATCACCGTTAACAGTGAAGAAAGCCCAAATATGGTGGAGCCGCAAGCGGCACAAGCAGTGGAGCTCACCTAAACTGAAAGTGGCACATATGCTGAAGTCCAAGCACGGTGACAAGCCTGAGAAGCAGAGGAGAGCCCTGTTCCTGATCTATGTTTTGATCTGCCGACTTTCATCTAGCACTAAACGCCTGAAACACTCCTTCAAGGAAATGCATAGTGCTCTGCCAACTGAAGGCACAGGGTGACTGGGGATGTTTGTAGTGGGGAAACTTAGTTTATTTAACTAATTTTGGGGCATATACTGCTGCCAAAGTCTCTTTATGCCTGTTATTGTTTGCTCAGATGCCTCATTTACTCTTCTTACTACGGGACCTCCTCTTGCTAAGCTTTGTAATGCCTGTTTTTTTCTCCAAAAAAAAAGAGCAGTTCTTCCTGACTTTTCATTTAATGCTAACACCTGTTATTGTCGATCAAACTCATGTGAAATGTACTCATGTTTGCTATACAATGCTCAACAAAAAAAGAATGTAAAAAAAAAAATAATTTGATATTCACTTTGAATCCACACTTTATTGAATAAACCTTATGGTGCTGTTAATAGGTAAAAGGGTAGTTGGCAAGCAGAGTTTAGTTATACATAAATATGTTTCCAATGCTGAGTGACTGGCAGACCACCTATGTCGCTCTGCAAGGCACAGCAGGGGTAACATGCAGGTAAATTAGGATCTACCTTCAGAGAAGTAGACAGGTAATCATCAAACATCATGGCATTGGTGTAAACATAGACTGTATACATCTATCTAATACTGGCTTTGGTGGTTTCTGATTTTGGATGAAATAGTAGCTGGTGCAATTTGTTTATTTTGTGCATATAAGCTTTTTTTTTTTTTTGTACTTGGTCCAGATTCCTGATAAATTCCACATCTATTCCCATTTAAAGCCAGATCTATGGCTTCTCTTACAAGAGGCTATTTTGGTTGCACTACGTGTTTATAAGGAAAAAGTCAACATAATTTAATGACAAGTAAGTTATATATAATGTGACTAAAAAATAATTCACGTTATTCTAGAAAGACACTCAATGAATACATTTTACCCCCTTCACCTTATTGATGATGATTTTTTTTGAAACTTTTTTCAACAGGGAACGCAAACAACCCTACATATGATGCTAGATTGTACTACTCATTAAATAAAATAAGGGGCGATCTAGTGAAATGTTAGACAAGGTTTTCTTCCAGCAGCTTAATAATGATTGCATAAAACATAATACATATTTACACTGAGGATTATGGGGATAGTGATATCAAGGCAAAACAGGGCAAAGTGAATAAATTCCTATCACTATGGAAACCAATTTTGCCTTGATAAATGTTTCTCTACATGTCTTACACTCTTTACCTAGTCCTCTATGACACATAAAATGTATTACCCTTTAATGTACCATAGTGAAGTCCAAACTTGTCCTTTAACTAGGTAATTTTGAGATTTTTTCACAGATTATTTTGGCCTAGATTATGAAGGTTGAAGAGACACTATACGTACCAAAACACATTTAGTTTAATGAATCCGATTTGGTGTATAGATGATGCCACTGCAGTCTCACTGCTCAGTTCTCTGCCATTTAGGAGTTAAATCATTTTAAATCATTAAATCATACAGCCCTAGTCACACCGCCTGGCCTGTGACCTACACAGTCTTCCTAAACACTTTCTGTAAATAGAGATCTAATGTTTACACTTCCTTTACTGCACATTCTGTTTAATTTAGAGTTTATTATCTCCTGCTCTGTTAATAGCCTTCTTGACCCCACAGCAGCTTCCTGTGTGTGATTAAAGTTCAATTTACAGAGCAGGAGATAAAAACATATAAAGCAAGTTAACATCTGATTAAAAATTAAACAATTGTTTTCATACAGGCTATATGAATCACAGCCAGGAGAGGTGTGACTAGGGCTGCATAAACAGAAACAAACATGATTTAACTCCTAAATGGCAGAGAATTGAACAGTGAAACTGCCGGCACATGATCTATAATTCCAAACAGCTTCATTAATCTAAAGTTATTTTAGTGCCTATAGTATCCCTTTAATTTTCATGTCACAGCATCATGCTGTTTTGTAAGACACCATTGATTTTTTTTGTGCTGTAATGATTCAGGTGATAATATCAGTTTATTACACAGCTAGTTATTTTTCCACAAAAATATAGTCTGTTATGTAAATCAACAGGACAAAAAGGCAATCCAGATTTTGAGGGTGAAAAAGTCAAACTGTTGACGCAGTCGAGCAGGTATCCCTAAAATCAAAATCTCAATACAAATCTAATATGCATATCAAATCTCATTGAATTGAACCAGCAAAACTCAAACTATAACTCATGCTTAAAAAGATCAACTGTGACTATAGCTAACTTGGAGAATTTTCCCAAATCTGCTATTTTAGACTGAATTATGCCATTCAGATGTAAATTTGCTAATTTAGAGTTTAATTTTAGTGAATTACCCTAAATGTACTGAATGAGCTATTTTGTTACAAACTAGATTTTGACATGGAAGATAAAATAAAAAGAATGTTGAATTCAATGTATTCCTATTTAGGAGACCAATCTATTCATGTAACTAAGGGAATTTACTGAGACTTAATACGTTTTGTGAATTAGGAATAAGAGAATTCTGAAAATAGTGAATTAAACCGAGCATTCACAGCTAGGTCAATGTGCAGTGTTAATCACTCCAGTTTTTTTTCATTCAAATTTAGACTTTGACAGAAAAGACTAAGAAGAATCAATTATCCCTTCAAACATGATGAGATTCATTTTGAGTTAAAACCCTCATAAGAGGCGATTTTAAGACAGCTTCACCTGAAGTGCTTAGCTCCATTTCAAGCCACTCAAACATAGCCTTTAAAAAGTATATTTTCAAAATGAATGGGGTTTAATACAACTTACATTCTTAATTTATCAATATGCTTCCAAAATGCAAATCGATGCTACAGCAAGATGCACCCATTTTTTAGATGCTGACGTAGTTCTTCCTCCGTTAATGATCCTGGGGGCACCTGCAAAGGTATCTTGGTGTAAGTGGGCACTTTATAAGGTTTTTATGTTATTATTGTGTATATATTATTTATACACTGATGTTGTAGTACTGTGCCTATCACATGTTCAAAGATGTATTTTCCTTGTTTGTATTGGAAATGCATCTGCATGTAATTATGTCTGTACTTCTCAATTTTTTCACATATTTTGTGACATCCCTTTAGCTCTTATCTGCTTCTATGTCTTTTATCTCTGTTTCCTTGTTTGTGTTTGCATGTAGAAATCCATTTCCCTTTTTATTAGGAAGCCTGCCTGGTAGCAAACACTTGGCATATGAGCTCTGATGAAGACCCTGTTTGGAGTGATACTGGTAGAAAGTGCTTGTCTTTCACAAACCTAAGAAAAATACTCCAACCATAGCTTTGTGGGAGACCTCTTATAAGGTCTGTATATTCTCTGCTCTTTAGTAGCACGTTAATTTGTCCCAGAGGATCAGTTAAACATTTGCCATGCCTGAGGTTGTGGATAAATTTCAATAATGTAGCCAAGTAATCATCGGGTAAATGAGCGAGTAATGAGCCACTTATTCAGAACTCATTAATAAATCAATATTTCTTTTAGATGCTTTTGTTTGACCCCCAGCAAACATTAGGACATCAGGACATCTTACACATGATTAAGCTAATGATTTTACCACGTTCTGTCTAAACACGTAGGTTCGTTTTAATTTTTGATACAATGTAATCAAACACATTCCTTGCATAGAGATCTAGTTAGTTGGATAAATATATGTGTGTGCATATAATCCATGTATATAAGTATTCCTTAATAATATGGGAACTGGTACCAAAACTAGTAAATTAAGCGACTCCCAGAGGCCTATTTTCTTGATTTAGATATATAACAGAAGATTTCATTGACACACAGGATATAGGCTGGTGTTCAAGATACCTTATACAGCTTATCTAGGTAGATATTGCTTTTTAATTTCCATTTTACAGCTTTTACTAATGGTGGTGAAATTCACTTGTCAACATAATACCAGTCTCTGTTCTGTAATCTATAAAGGGGTTAACCACTTTATTCAGATGGCTTCGGTTTTGTTACGTTAGTGCTTTGATCGTCCTGAGAATTAACGAAAGATAAGCTAAAAGTTCATTTATAAGAGTATTAAAGGATAATTATGATAGAGTAAATGCAGAGGGTCAAAAGGCATTACGATGAACATAGACATAATATAGGGCTTGAGAAAATAGGCTAAAATGCATTCAGTAATACCGTACCTAATATTGCCCCAAATTCCATTAGATATTGTGTACCCTTATTTTGCTTTTATAATATAATTAATGATATTGGTCTGATTTTAAATTCGATTTTTGATTTGCACATCCTAACAAAACTGATTGCTACAAGTCCAAATTAAAGTTTAAGACAGTTGCAAATTTGTGACCTTTTAATATCAACAAAATAATAAAAAAAAGATTTCAGAGGAAATCTGTTTCAATCAGATTAGAAGAGAAGTGGGTAAAGCTGATTACAAGCCCACTAAACACAGTCTTTGTACAGTATTTGTTCTTCAACAATAGAGTTAATTCCACTTTAACAAGTATTATCTGTAAAATCAATAATTAATTAAAAACCATTATCATCATGTAAATGAAAAAAAAAGTGAAAGCCTTTTTAAAAACTTTTTACAAACTACTCTGTCTTTTTGGAAATATATAATTAATAGTAGTGGGTTGTCTTTTTGGTTTAGGCTGACACATATTCTACATGCTTGTATAAGAAACATAAGAACTAGTTAAACTGGCTATAGGTAAATTACAATCTCATATCCAATATTTATTGGTATGTTAACAGCCGGAGATGCTATTCATTAATGATGCAGAATTGATCACAATCCAACTGTTCCGATACTTTTTAATGGCCACTTTTAAAATTAATGAATTCGTTTACATCACAAGCAAAATGAACAGATGCATTATTATTTTTTGCTCACTACACAGTGTACTGTTCTGACCAGGATTGGTCCGATTGGCTCTCGAACTCTCTCTATACTCTCAACTTGTTGACCTGTTATGGTCCGCTCCCGACAGTATGCGGGGTCCCCACTAGAAGGCACCACACACATTTTCACACAAAACACTGCTGGTGAGTATGCTTACTTTATGGTGGATTTGTTCTAAATCATGAGTAATGGTGTATGTAACTCCTTGTTTTCCTGTGACAATAGGTACATTAGGTGTTATTTGTGATTTATGTATGGATTAACCTTGGTGATAAAAGTGTATAATATATGCTGGATTGCCATTATACCATTTAATACCCCTTTGCAAACATTTAAAAATGTTTTATTGATTATCAGCTTCCTAAATGAACTCATAAAGATATGTAGAGATTGAGTATAGTAATGATTTCTCTTAGGTATATAATTGTTGCATATCCCTTTAAATTTCCCCTATAAATCCTACTTCCCTTCTGTAGCATAGTTTTTGAAATA